CAAATTAATTTGCTGCCTCGCTCCTCCACTGCGGCTCATCCTTCCCAGATACCCCTGCATGGAGCAACCAGGCCAGTGGCTCCCTTTGTAGCGAGATGAAGCAGAAGCCTCCAAGTGATTAAGCCTGACAGTGCTTTGGGCTACTTTGGTTCCCCTCAAGCCCCCTCTAGGCTGGCTCACTGGTGCCTGCAAAAATAATAGCCGTACCTTCATCCTGGGGGGTTGGGTGGGGGGGCTCCTGCGTGTGCCAGTGCTGAAGTGCAGGTACAGTAGGAGGTTGATTCTGGCACCGTGCTGTGGAATATTTTTTCCCGCTTAACCCCTGCAAATTCCCCCCTTTTCTGCACCCCGCCCCCCCCACTCAGATAAATGACGGAAATGCGGTGAGTCAGTGGAGCCGTGCTGCCCCACTGACAGGCACTCTCCCTGGGGCGCCGACATCAAAGGGCCCCTGAAAGCTGACTGGCTCCTTGTAAACTGGGCCGCCAGGCCTGGGGGCCCTTTCCTGTGCTTCACCCAGCTTAATGGCAGGCTTGTTTGGTGTCTCGCTGGAGCGGAGTGAGACCAAAGGGTGCTCCTGGCTGGGGGCTGCTGGAGGATCTCAGATTTATAGGCCTGGGGTGGGAGGGGGTTAGTGGAAAGAAAAAAAATAGATATATCACATATTTTGTATATATATCATATATATTTTATATAGCATGTATTTCATATATATATATTTCATGTGTATATTTTATATGTATACATGTTTGTTCTGCTTGTGATATCTTTTTTTCCTCCGTCCAAGTAAAACAAAAGACAAGAGAAGGAGGCCAAAAACGAGGTGGAACCTTCATGGAGATACGAGCTTTGGCTCCGGAGGCCTCCAGCTAAATGAAAACAGACCTTGGATTCCGTTTCCCTGCCTTTTTAATGCTGCCAGCAAAACAGAGGCTATCCACACTTCCATATGGGGGCACGGAACCTTGGGAGCAGAGCCGGACCCCCTCCCCCCGCCAGCTGGGAATCTGTACCGACCAACATGGCTTTGCACCTATGCTCGCAAACCGTGGGTGGTTGGGGCTCTCCGCCGCCTGGCACGCCCCACGTTGGTAACGTGCTGGGAGTGCTTTGCATCGTGGGATGCGAGGAACACACACAGCCAATGTGGCAAAAATTAGGTGTATGGCTCTGTGGGTTAGGCCTTAGTGTTTGCAATCAGATGGTTGCTGGTTTGAATCCCATCCTTGGCACGATAGTCACATGTGCATTGGACCCATGAGCAAGGCCCTTAACCCCCAAGAACGCTCTAGATAGACGGCCTATCCCTGTGCTCGGACCCTAAGTTTCACTCTCAGCTATATACACATGCGAATATCTCAAAGGAGAGCATGATGGGATTTATGAAAATAAGCATTCCACTGCACCTGTGTTTGCACTTGTGCAAATGGGAAATAAAGCATTATATCACTGGGACTTCCTGTTGGTTTCTGCAGATGGGCGGCTGCCACATCCATACCCTTAGGATCAATGCAGTCAGGAAGCAGCCTTACTGTGCTGCTGCCCCGCCTTTGAGGCAAGACAGGACAGGCTGGGAAGGGGGCAGGAGGAATGCATCCGACGTTATCTGAGCTGTGTGCGGCCCTGCCCCAGAATGATGCCGGCGTGTTTATCTACCGGTGTTATTATTACTGAGCATCAGATAAGGCCCCCTTCCCCCAAGCCGTGAGGCCCGGACATCATGGAGAGCCGCCCTCCGTCAGATCCCCGCGGCGAGCCTTGCACTGCGTTCCTCAATGGGCCTCCTGTCTTGAATGACATGGGAAGCTTGGAGCATACAGAACGTGCCTCAGTGTTGAAAAAGGCATTGCTTACAAAAAATAACATTGTAAATATGCAGCTACATACAGTTCTAAGCAAAAGTCTTGGGCAATTCAAGAAAACAAAGTTCAAATGATCTTCATATTGGTGTAGAACTATGATATCATGAATATCAAAGTGTTTCAGCTTAGCGATTTAAAAAAAATCACACCAGTATTCGCATCAACCCTCCAGTACTTAGCCACTACTCTACCCATTTGGATAATCAATACCTCATTTTAGTTAATTATTGAAATTTTACAAAACACATGAAATGACTGAGGTGCCCCTGAGGAGGGGTTTGGGAACTGAACTCTTCATCTAGCCGTCCAACAAGATATCAGTAACTTTTTTAGAGAACAATTCTATTAATACAGCTGTTTATATTTTTTTTAGAATTACTGTTAATTTGCATATGTTCAATGTTAAATTGTGTTTTTCTGAGCATATGTACACAGTACTAGCCAGACAAATAGCCTTTTACATTTTCTTTCACTGCCTAAAACTCATGCTTACAGACATCTCCAGAATTCAAACTCTCCATAGTGCCATTTGCATTGCAATGCGCAACGTTCAACGTTCTCTTAAACGTTCTTAATCATGTTGTAGTGGACAGTCCATGGTACGTTTCAGTTATGTTAGCATGGTTTGCTGTTTACTGAGGTCTTGGAACAATAGGGTTAGCCTCGCGATGACTTTAGCGCTGGAAGATGGTTTGAAAACTTCCCAGTTTTACCTCAGGGATGACACCAAGAGGATCCTCTTAGCCTGTTTATTGTTGTTGAGAATATTTGGCAGAGTTTCTTTATGATAGTGTTCCTTGGTGTCTATTTTGTCATTTCTGGACAAAGGACCCACTTGCGTTTCTCTGGGAAAAACGAGAGCTTTTGTTTTCTCCTTACTGGAGGTATTTTTCTTTTTTAATAATAATATACGGCTTCTCTGTTCACTAGTGTGTGTTTCAGTTTTTGTTCATGAAGCAGCTGCAGGTGATGGATGCTGAGGAACTAGAAATGAAACGAAAAACCCAGCACAGGTTCAGATCTCAGGAACATTAACCACTTTTGTGGGTTCTTAAATTTCCCAAGTGAAATCTAGCTGTATACTCTGCATAGACAGTGACTAAATGTTAATAAATGGCCCAGCCAGAAACAGGGTGTCTGTGCCGAGCTTGAAATTGTGGAGGTCTACATTGTTCCAACACCAATTTCATAAAGTCAGTCTGGGTGGAACCAGCACGAACGCGGAGTCCGTTGCCCGGGCTGGCTCTAGCTGTCCCTGTATAAATATTTTCAGAATGTGAGATGTCTGTCTTGGGTTAGTGGTGAGCTTTGTTTTCGTGCAAGTCAGACAAGTGCTTTGGCTGTTTATATGAGCCCCACACTTGACATGATTAATAGGAGGTTTATGACAAAAAACAGCAGAACTCTCCGGAACCAGCTAATTTTTCCACTGGTGGAAATAGACCACCCCGCTTGTCTTTCAGCTTCTTTTGCATTGTATTGCAATTGCTTGTAAGTTTTTAATGAAATTGTTTTAATAGAAAAAATTAACAAAACCAATCAAAGCTTCATTACTGAAAGTCAGCTGTGAGGCCTGGAAGACACCAAGTCGACAAACGATCGGCTCCCGTCGATAGTGAAAATCAGCGCTGGAACGCACTGGCATGACCAGAGGCGGCAGTTGCCACACACCCCAATTAGAAAGCTCGATTTTACGGATAAGCTCCAATGTCGATTCAGCATGCTAAATCGGCCAAAACAGTGCAGACAAGGACCAACTATGTCCGCCCGTGCCAGACACACTGGCCCGACAGGCAGTCACCGACTCTCCCTGACAGCCCAATGGCTTCTGAATGCCGAAAATTGGCTTGGCGTGTTCAGGCTAATAGACACAGGTAGCATCTGCATGGGATTATGGGTTTTGGCTTGGGCATCCAGGCAGGCCCAGGCCATACCTCCCAGTGCTTTGGAGGTGTGGGAGCGTCAGGGACCAGATGGCCTCCATCATCTTGCTTACCATTGCCCACTTCTGGCCACAGCTTGTGTGGCAGGCTGTCCCCCCACCCCCACCACCACCTATCGCCTTCAGGTTTCCTCTGCCTTCTTGTCTGGGCGGCTGGTGCTGCTCCTCCGCTGTTATTTTAGCTCAGGTTGCTCCCTTCCGGACTGACGAGCAAATTCCAGCGGCCGCGTCGGTCAGAGCTGCGGATCTGGGCACTTTCCCTCCACTCAGCGCTTACAAGGCCCAAGGCCTGCGTTTGTTGGCTGCATCTCCACTACTTAGGCCCTGGTAGAGTCTCTACTGGCGTTAGCTTGAAATATACTATGGATTTCATGAGGCTTTGCCGCAAAAGAACACGTCGTATGACCGTCGGGTAGGACTCTTGAGCTAAGGATTTCAGGATCATTTCTCGGTAGAGAGTCAGCTGTTGTACCCTTGACTAGGGAGCTAAAGTCTGAACAGGAAACCAAACAGGTCTATGAATGGATACATTTGTAAGCCCTTTGGAGGTTTCTTTGTCAAAGCAGCACTAGCTAAGCAACTTGGGTAATAAACAGATGAGCCATTTCGATGATGAATGAGTTCTTTTCCTGAGGGCTTCACACTTCAGACTGAGGAGGTTAAGTTAACTGCCACGGCTCCATTTTTGGGCACTCGGCACTCTCCACCCCCGTTTTTCCTTCTTAATTATTCCCTTAGAGGAATTTACAACTCTGGCCTGAACCATTTCTTTGTGAAAGGGGTGGGACGACTGCGATGGCACAGTAGCTCCTCACGCTAGCATGTTCTAGCTTTGGGGACAGCAGTGGAGATGGTACTGCCCGTAGCAGGGTGGTGGCAAGGGTACTGGAGGGGGTGAGGCGGCAGCAGGATCTTTTTGGAGGGGGAGGGGGGACGCTTGGAAGGTCCCTCCCCTGGGCTGTGTAACCACCTCCATCTGGACCTCATGAGAGAACATGAGTGAATAGGCCTCCATGTGGAGGCAAGCGATACAGAAGCACCCCCCCCGCCCCCAGCGATAAAGTAGGTCGACACTAACTCTGTCAAAAGTTCTTGCAGCTTCTAATTTATTATTCAATAATACCACACTGATCCAAACTTAATCAAATACTCGACTACAGTCCTCTGATGGATTTAAGTTACATGAAGCATGTGCTACACAGCAAACCATCATCGGTCTGACACGGTACAGCGATTTGGATGGAGTCTTCACCATATTTTCTATTATTGTGTCAAAAGTCTTGGGGCCAGCAGACGGAACCCCTCTGATAATTGGGCACAGCTGTGCACAGGATAGCCTCTGAGACCGGCAATTGAGACATTTCTGTTAGGCACGTGGAACTAATTTAGCCGCAACAATCGTTTCTGCCAGGAAGTCACAGAGGGGACGCGCACCATAGCATTGCTGCCCTCTTTGACAGCTGGGCAGAGAGCTTTAAAGAGTAGAGGACTTCTAATTTTAAAAGTGGAGTCGGCATGGAGTGAGGCTAGCTTTTATTGACCGCGCCGGGCTGCCTGCTCTACTGAATGCTTATTTCTGGTAAGTGACCACATGTCACGTAACGATATGACCTCTCGTAGGGCATCAGGCGTGAATAGAAAACTCAGAGAGGTGAGATTTGGCAGGAAGCTTAGTTGATTGAGAGTTGGACGGTGAGGTCTTGCACTGCAAATGCAGGGCTTCCATTACAGGGGAGATACAGACAATTAAGAGGTAGCTGAGTAATTTTGTAATGGGGGGGAAAAAGATAAGACAGTGGGGGAAATGAATATACAGAGTAGGGGCTGTTAAAGTTAATGCGAAACAATGGCCAGATACAGCTTTGTATGAAAAAAATTGGAGGGGAAAATTATATCGATATTTGTACCAATCTATGGATATTGGATCAACTTTCATAAAAGATTAGAAACAGATCCAAATAAATCCATATCCGAATAAGTCTACAAATGCATCTCCCTTAAGGTAAACCACCAATAAAAAGCACACAAGCAGACTTTAGTTTCATGAGTAGGATGCCCCCTGCTGGGGAACTAGACTCATTAACTAGCTGGCATCATCCCTTAAACGGCAACAGTCGTGTTAATTCAAGAAGTTACAATGAATGCGACGGATTGCACTACAGAGAGGGATTTTGTCATACTTCTCTCAAAAGCCAGATAGTTACATTTCAAACATATGATTATGATTCTAGGGCCACAAGTCACAGACCACAATGCTGTCCAGCTGGTTTTAGACACGACCTTTAATTTCTGTAAACCTGCTTTGGATAAGCGAGAGGCGTCTAGTGATCAATGCCAAAGTTTGATAGGATCTCACACTTGCCGTTGCCTGAACCCCTAATTACAACAAAATGCCGACTTATTTGATATCTGGCTCTAGCCTTCCAGAAACAGGTAATTAAAGACCATATGTCAGGCAGCAGGGCGGCGATTCTGCGAGACCAGTGACCGATGTTCACAGGCCTCTGACTAAACACCCGGCTAACTCCTACCAAAAGCCAGACGCATTCCTGCTCCGATGACCCGCTCCAAAAACGAGGTGGATTTTTATTTCCACCAGCTCTAATTATACCTAATCCAAGACTTAAAATCACAAGGTGATTTGCCAAATGGGATATTTAGTTCTACATCAAAGGTAATGAGGGTTTTTGCAGCAGCCTTTGCCTGGTTCCATTTCAAGCACAATATGGAAAAAGTTACTACATCATTAAGTCGGTGCAGCATTAGCTCAGACTGAAAAAAAAATGGTGAGGAAATGGTCTTTGCCCCTTTGTATTCACATCGGTTCAGTTAACCCTCTGATATCATACCTGGAAAGTAATGGTAAGGGATTTTCTACATGGTGCTGGGCAGTAAGGAGGCTGTTAGGAGATAATGTTCAAGGAGCCCAAGCACGGCCCTGGCCACATCCCGGGGGAGGTTACTGGAAAGCTCTTTTCTTCTCCCAGAGGACCGAGCCCGGCATCCGCCCTGGGCAGGCCCGGATCGGAGCCAGCGTTCTGGGATAGGTTAGAGGTCACCGTCCAGCCGACGTGCTACATTTCTCCCGGCGCCTGGTCAGAGAAAAGGGGGGGGGGGCACAGGAAGGTTTGTTTATCTTTAAAAAATAAAGAAAATAAATAAAAAAACCAACTACACCATAAGGTAACAGGTGACTCCGCATGGTTCAGCCATCTAGCAACAGCAACCCCCCCCCCCAACCCCCTGGGGTGACGGGGAGCAAATGGCTCCAGCAAACAATCCAGAAGTAACAGCACCAACATCCCAGTTTAAAGCATGGTTGTGGATCTGAAGACCAACTGGGAAATCTGGAGTGTGCTAAACAGCATCAAAAAAAAAATGTGATTAAAGATTTGTGACCATGTTTAATTACTTATCAACCTCTCGCCTCCTGAAAATACAGGGATTAAATATTTTGGAGAAAGAGTTTACAAGATCATTTGTAACTCGCATATATCGTACAAGTCAAACATGTTAAAATACAGAATGTCTTCAAGTGAAGCCCAGGTCATTCCTTTCCTGCTGGGTGTCCTTGAAAATACACCCCCCCAGGACGGCTCCCAGGAGCTGTGGATGGGACTGGGAGATGAGTCTATAGATGGATTTATAAACACCAATCTGGGTTATTATTTATAACACTGCAACTGTAAATGTTCATAAGTCAAGTATGGGGCAAGGTGGAAAAAAAGATTGCTTATGTAATTTAGTATAAGATAGCATACATTTTGGCATGTATATAGATGCCTCGTGTATTATCATTTACACAGGATCATCAATTTTGATAGCATTTATCGGACACAAAATTAAACAACATTGTTTTTGCGGAGGATTGTTATAGCATGACTAACTATATTTGTGGCTTGTTTCCAGTGCTTTAAGAGCTAAAAGAATTTAAGGAGTGGTGTTCAGAATGCAAATTCGCTACTCCTTGAAATACTAAACATCTCCGTTATAAATGTGTAAATATACACGGAAATCACTATTATTCCGTTGATTACATGTGACTTGTGAGACTCATGTTTTTCATGGCATTCATTTGAGCAGAGAGATTCCTGTTTTTACATTCTGCAAAATCAAATTTTTGTGAATTACAGTGCAAACCACGTCGACAGTTTATTTAGCCAGTACCATAATGGCATCAATCACATTTCCCAGACTGTTTGGTTTAGTCTAGGGCTATAGAAGCACTGCTGTGTGAGTTCTGCTGTTTTATTTATGTAAGACTGCTATATTACCCTAAGGGCATGTTCACGTCCCAACTAAAGAGCTTTTGTCATTGATTAAAGACGTTTGCTTTTGTTAAATTCATGGATATTCATGAGCAGCCCAAGCAGGATGCCTTTGGGCTCAGACAGCGTGACTCTAAAACCTGTTAAACTGTCCATGAATATTTATAACAATACAGCACTTCTAGGCCAACCCTTTCCTTCCACTAACACCAGGCTAACGCGGACGACTCCTATTGCGAGGGAGCTGTCCTGTAAGTACATCTTTATTGCGAGCGCACAGTCCTGCAGAGTCAGCGGAGAACTGGAGGAGTCACGGTGCTATTTATCAAAGGACAAAGCCTGTTACGTCACATCTGGTCCTAGAAGGCATGTCTGTCCACAGAGGGCCACTTTCTGCCACTTAGCAAGCCTAATTATCCTGCTAATTAACAGTAATTAGCTCCCCTTTCCTGTGCTGGAAGTACCCAATGCCCTCCAGGTACAAAAAAATAAATAAATCAGGAAGTTCGGTGCCAGGGTGGAACTCCAATGTGTGGGTGTCTCTGCTGGAAGGTCTTACCTTGCGGTAAATACTCTGGACCGAAGTGTTCTGCCCCCAGGCCAGGGATCCGATCCTGCAGCAGGACTCTGGCACAGCACCGCTGTTCCCCCATTCCGTGTAGTTTTCTGCTCCACAGCAGTGGAACTGGAAGACATCACACCAGAGTATACACACGTTCAGCCAAAGTGAGAGGATGCGCAGGAGGTTTAGTGGACTTCAAGACTATATTTTAGCTTTCCTGTGCATTTCTGCTTATGGTAAAAACTTATATACAAAACATATTTATAACTGGAATTCAGAGTGAAGCAGTAATTCAATACGGAAACTTATACACATTAAGAAAATAATGCATAAACAGTTATAGAAGATGGATGAAGGAATGAACATTTAATCTAATAGTTCATATTCAAAAGAAATTTAATTGTAGGATTTATACACTGGCTCTGTACCTTCTCACCATTGTTCTCACTAAGCTTTGCACTTTATCGTAACACCTGATATTTTCTTTAAGCTTCACTCTCTTATTACCTTCCTCTGAAGTTCATCAATGGAAGATTGTACTGATTACTGCCGTGGCCCTCAGGGTTAATTTATGCTCCAGCTGACAGAAAACAGGAATACAGTACATGTCTGCACAATTAGTCACCTTGAGATGATGTCACCCAGCTATTTACGCTCAGGGGCCACTTTATTAGGTACATCGAGTGGGTACCAGGTAGGTCTATGGTTGCAAAATTCTGTTCATTTGCATATATTACTGTTAATTCCCATGGAAATTTTCCAAAATTCCCCAGCTTAACTTCCCATGGAATGGAAATTTCCCACCCCTTTGCAATATGAGTTGTTTGTTCATGGAAGGCTTTCTGCAGGCTACTGTCAAGCTGAACTGTTGTTTTTGCAGTTGTGTTCTTCCAGTTAGCTTTACTGGTTCTGGGCATTCTCATTAACGAGCAGTTTTCTGTCACGGAAATGCCATTGGCTGGATGTCTTTCGTTTATCACGCCAATCCCAGTGAACCTCTGAAGTCGAAGCTGTGACAGAGCGATCTATGAAAGTCCTTTGCTACTCAACGTAAAGGGTAAACAACTCCAACAAGAGTGTGAGAGATCACTACAATCTCCAACAAGAACTTCTTGGAATAGTAGGAGATAGGATGATCAGTCCCCTTCTAAGCAGTCCCCAAAAAGCATGTGGCTCATCAGGCTAGGTCTTTGTGCCTGTCATCAGAAGGCTGCTGGTTCAAACCCAGCTGTAGCACGTCTGCGGGCCCTTGAGCAAGGCCCTTAACCCCCCAGGTAAAAAGAGACCCCATATGTGTTTAGTTTGCTACTGGAGACAGAGAGGAGAATTACCATTACAGCCTCCACGATGACCAGCAAAATGAGGAAACCTGCGAACTACACAATAAAAGCAAGGTCACTTACCACTCCAACAAACTGGGAAATGTCAAATGGGACAACACATACCCTAGTGGTCTAATGGGGTATAACAGCTTAGCGTCATAACTGCGTAAAACATTTAAAAAATTAGATAAATATTTTTACTTTATTTTTTGCAGGAAAAGGTATTGCAGGTCCACGATTTAATATGAGTGTGGTGAGAAGCTGTCATGTTATCTAGCAATTATGCTATCTAGCAATATTCATGAAAGCGCAATTACGGAGTATTAATATTAATATATGGCTTATAAAAAGAGTATGACAATCTCACGTGGGGTGGACAGAAGGAGTGGCCTTTTACGTTTATTTATTAATACAACTGTAATCGCGCTTGTAATAAACTTCTTACTCTTTAACTAGTTGCGACAAAAGTTCTGACTCTTCGCCCACTTTGACTTACCAGTCCGCGATGCTCCCATTAAACGCGATCAGGGAGATCGCGAAGGCCACCACGGAAAACACGGTGGGAACATGGGAGATCATCCATCCAGCAACAGGTTCCATCTCAGTGGAGGCGGTGCGAAATACCGCACCAACTGTGGTAAGTGATAAGCCGGACACCTGTTAGGGTCACGTGACACGCGAGGTTTCCAGCGATGATGTATCACATGACCAAACACAGCAGCTGCCGTGGTACTCTACGATGAGCGTGGCGAAGTGCATGCCTGTTTGTTCTATACTAACCCATAAAATAGCGCCGAACATAATTGAAAATCCTTTAATGAAGGCAGTTCTGCCCATCTTCTTGAAACTATAAGGGAATGTATTTCGTGCATTTTTAATTGCCATTTAAAATACAGCTTTAGTCGAGATCTTTTGTGCATCTGAGTAATTTTTCAGTGCCTTAAGTATTTTCTTCTGTATTTATCTTCTGTAGTATAATGATTAGCCTGTTTGTTCATCTATATTTCGAAATTAGCCATATTGAGAAATTGTCTAGAAAACATTGCAAACAAGTAAAACTATATGCACCGATTAGGTAATCACAGCTGTGGAATAAGGACATGCTGTTACATTTAATACCCGCAGCTCTCAAGTAACTTTCCGTATCCATCATACCACTCCGGAGACCCCTACTGCAAACTCATTTTAAACATCCTGAATTCTCAATGATAGCTGGTGTTATGTGCAGCTTATATGCACTGAAGCCCAGTTACTGAGAGCTAAAACGAAATTAGTAAAATCCGTTAGCTCTGTGTATTGGTTAAGGTGATGTTTAATAAGAAGCCAAGATTATTGGCATTGTTTCCATTTAAGATCGAGCGCCCTCTAGAGGTCCTCTGGCGAATTGCAGAGGTCTTCGTAAATGGCAAGTAGGCTATCAAGCTCGTATTACACAAGAGGGCAGTCCTCAGTCGGAGTAGGCCCAACAGCAGAGCTTGGAAGCAGAACTGCAGCTATCAATGCTAATATGACAGACCAGCAAGGCCAATCAAACCTGAAGGAAATCCACGAACAGGAACTGCTGTAACGGTTAGCATGAACACATTGGTATATTGACCACCAATAACCAGAAAAGACATCGATGAACATTTTAAATCCTTCTTAGAAGTGGTGTCTGTAATTCAGAGAATTGTCTGCAATATTTAATAAATGAAAGGTTTCTAAAATGTCCTGTTTTCTTTCAGGATACAAACAATTTATGATGTTCTTCTATATTATATGAGATTTATTTTGTGTCTACACTCTTTCATAGACTGATTTACGGAGTCACATCAAGGTCCTGCCAAGTGGAATAACAGCAGAATCCCACTCTCAACATCATGAAGGTCAGAAAAACTCCTAACTGCATCAGTCCTCTGGGGTCATTGCAAATTCATTAATATTTGCTTATATTTTGAACATTTCTTTACATTTGGAAAATTCTGGCATTTGCAACAGGTTGACGCCCCATCCTGGGTTGTTCCCTGCCTTGCACCCGTAGCCTCCGGGATAGGCTCTGCACTCCCCGCTACCCTGAATAAGAGAAGTGGTCGCAGGCACTGGATGGATGGATGGATGGATGGAATTCTGGCATTTTCTCATAATACCTTTTCTCATTTGAGTACATTGATGCAGAATGCTGAAGATTTACTGCACATATACAAGAAACTATGCACGTGTGAAAATAAGTTTTAGCTAAGTTCAAATGGAATTATTTTGCATATATAAATTCTAGTTAAATAAATGTTTTCTACGCTTTATTGTCTTTGCTTGGTACTTTCCATCATACAGGCTAAGGACATTCAGTTAAGGTGAACTGGAGACATACAAATCGTCATGCACTGTGCATTTGTCATGCGATTGTCTTGGAATGTGGTTTTCTGAGTGCGTGTCAGCGGCCCACAAAGATGCAGTGTTCTGTCCATGGTATATCCCAGCAGATGCCAGCTCTGGCTTATTGTAGCCATGACATGAATAAGCACTTAACGAGAACAACTGGATGAAGGGCTAGTAAAATGAGGCCTACCGATACCAAGGTGCTTGATGGAAACCATGCTGTCACGCTGACATGAATATGGCGCGGCCTATTGTGTTCTGCTTCTGCGGCCTTCGAGGTTGTCTTCCAGCAGGTCACGAAAAACCAGCGGGGTCACGTTGATGCGGATGGTCTGCCATCCACGGTGGATGAGATGGGAATTGACGTCAGCCCCCACTGAGTTGAGGGGGCCTTAAAGAGGGCAGACTACGATGGTAAGTCTGCAGTCAGTGATATTTATGCAATAGCAGATGAAACTTTGAGAATCAGCTGAGATAGACAGCTGTCCCTAGAGATGGGCCTGTATAACATAGTAGGCCACATCTGGTGTGGGGATCAATGTCTTGTACTCTGCATGCACGCAGAGTGACTTTAGATTTTGGAACAAATATTCAAATATCAATATGAAGCAGATTATGTTTAAATCTCTCATTTTTGCTTCAAATGCCTCTGTCTAGGACCAGAACGCTGTCTGATAATATTAATGTTGGTTGTTGTGATGTTTTGATCACTTAGTCTCCATGGAGAACTGAGCTCTTTGTCAGTCGACCTTAATTTTTAAAACTTCATATTTGGAGGGGACAGATTAGTGAAATTTCAAAACTTCCTGTCAGTCATGACGGACAGCCAGAGGTTCTAAAAGGGCTTGAAAGGTAACTCTAGAAGAACTCTACATGGTCTCCATCAGCTTGTGGGAGTTTTACTTACACAAAAATGTTCTGAGGACGGAAGGAAAAATGATTGGTTCAGAGAGATAACCAATCATGTTGTAAAGGAGGTGGGTCCAAGCAAGTGGAGTAGGCGGGACCAAGACATCTGATTGGTTGGTCTGCCTCCTCTAGTTGCTTGGACCCACCTCTCTCAACCAGTCGTTTTACCTTTTGCTCTCAGAACATTTTTGTGTAAGTAAAACTCCCAAGAGATTCTCCATCATCACGCCAAAGACACCAAGGAGAAACAGAAATTCATGCAGACAAGTGATGAGACCTTCTCCGTTTTAGTGAAAAACCTTTGTGTGTTTCCTGTCTCATTCATGGGCCCATTGGGGCACTGGCTGGGAGGTATATCACCACAGACAGATTATATGCTTTCTTTCTCTGTTTACTCCACCTTTCCTCGGGGGAGAGCGATGACCCATCTTGGGCTACAGAGGCATTGGGGATGGTTTTCTATAAAGCCTTGATGCATATACTGAATGCAGGAACCCTCTCCAGCAACACAAAGGGGATGTCATCTGGTACGACCAAATGTTCCTTTGAACTTAGGTTGCGTTGGTGTTCTTAGTTCCACCTTGTCATTCTTGAACCATGTCCAGTTCTATACTATAACAGGCGTTGCCCAGATGTCCTGTGCTGCTTATATATCGTGCACAGAATGGTCTCTCCTCCAGTCGATTGCTATAAAAGTGATTCTAAACATTACAGATCCCACAACACGGTACATTTGCTTTGGCAGCAATAGAATTGTGAAACAGAACATCCAAAATCAATAAATATTTCCATCATTAAATATTTGAATAAATGAATCTATCACCAGCAATGTAACTACCGTGGAAAAAGTATTCAACAGAAACATGCTGGGTGTGAATTGATTTATATGACAATGGAGGACCAGCCTAATACAATTAGTGTATGACTCAAAACGACAGTTAAACAAACAGTGCAATAAATGGCCGCCCTTTATAATCTGGTTGAGTAAGCATTGGCCACCCTATGCTTACTCAAAGGCGTCTGTTTGTTGGTGTGGCCCAGCTTCTCCCTGTTCTTCTTTCCTCTTACCTTTGCTGCTTCCCCTATCGCAAATCAGACCAGTTAACAATGTTCACCGGATAGTCCTGCCAGAGTAAACAGCTGGGACGTTGTTGAAGGGTAAACGGTCACTGTGCTGGAATCATGCTCAGGCATTTTGGGGAGGTTTCTCTCTGTGGGGGTAGTCGGAGGAGCACATTGACCACCAGAGGCAATTCTGACTCTTATTAATCATGGAATCCAGATTTCATGGAGCATCGAGAGAAAATGTCTTTTATTTAGAGAAACAAATTACTACCCTCCGTTCCACCGCATGCCCTCTCCTTAGGCGGTTTAGTACGTCTTCATGCTGCACCAAGGGGGACCGCCTGATTGGGCTGGCAGCAGTCAGCTGATGAAATGCATCAGGGGTCTTGGTGAGAGCCTTTCTTTTATGCTCACGGGAGTTTCACTTGCACAAAAATGTTCTGAAGGCAGAAGGAAAAATGATTGGTTCAGGGAGATAACCAATCAGATTGTAGAGGAGGTGGGTCCAAGCAATTGGAGGAGGCAGAACCAAGACATCTGATTGGTTGGTCCCGCCTCCTGTAATTGCTTGGACTCACCTCCTCTACAATCTGATCCATCTTTACAACTGATGAGTTCATGCTAATGTCCCCCACTTTCATTCAGAGGGATGTGATGAGGAGCTCCCTAGCCTGAAACCAACTCCACTGGTCCGGACAAGGTCAGCAAAGTCAAGTCCACAAAGAACCAGAAGACAGTGGAGATTAAAGATCGCATCTGACAAGTAATGGGAGACTGGGTGGCTTCACAGAATACACTGCAAAGTGTGCAGTGTGCAGTGTGACACCCCCAGTCACCCCTGCCCCCCAGCTATCAGTCAAGCACCCAGAAAAGAAACTAAAGAGACGATCACCCCAGTGAACGTCAAGGAAAAGATCACAAAGACACAGAAGGATTTACTGCCGTATGATGACATTGACCAGATTCAGCTGAAGGTATTTTAAGATACTGAAATATAGATGTGTGTTTTGTGCATATTTATATTTTTCAGATAATCCAAACGTACACTGACTGTTAAAGGTGTGCATGATAATTTTAAAAACACTTATCTATAGCTCTCTCTCTCTCTCTCTCTCGGGTTGACCATCGTTTCCGAAGATGTCGAGGGTTGTGCTCTCTCTGTTGGTGGGCCTGAGTGTGGCTGATGAGGCCAGTTCCTGATGTACACACTTGAGGACAGTGAGGGCATTGGAAGGAAGCAGCATAGGTGGGAGCAAAAACATGGACCGACAGTGAGTCCCCAAGGACCGGATTGGAAAACACTGAAGTTTAGACTTTCTGAGGAATTCCAAGGGCACAATGATGCTCTGGAGGGGATGCAATTGCTCTTGATTATTTTATTTAGAATTTTTTTGGTCTACCAGAATATACTTGTGAAGCAGAAGTGACATCACTCCTGGAACTCCTGGGCATCCCTACAGCCCAATTTGTCCTCCATGGCCGCAAGGACTTCCCCATGATCTTCTCCGCCTTCTTCTGGAGCTAGACCAGCTGGTGCAGCCCCAGAACCCAGCTGAGTGCCCCCCTGCCCTCAGCTGACCTCAGGGCATGACCCGGTCCCTGCTGATGTCAGGAATTGCCCCCTCAGCCGAACCCCCTTTCAATCCTCCCGCCTTTCTGGGCTGATGAAGATCTCAGACCAAGTCTCTTACTGTTGAAATGGAAACATATTGCTGCTGAACGCAAATAATCCATGATTTGTTTCTCATTTTGAACTGCAATCAGTCCAGTTATTTTCCAGTTAGCAGCAAGTGGAACGTGGCAAACAGTAACTGGGAATAGCCCATGTTTAATTTTTTAAAAGTAACCAATAGATAATAAACGCTGTGTTCAAGTTAGTAAAAGAGCTATAGCCGTAACTGTACAATGAGTGGAGCCACTTGGCTACCTTCCAGCACATGTGAAAAGGTCAACTATGAGGTCACTCTTTTGGAAAATGAGGTCACGCCTTTGATGAGGCGAGAGGGAGGGAGGCCGTCTTCCTGAAACCCAATCACCGAGGGAGCGACTCCAGACAGCCATCCAGACGCACACACATACACACACACACACGCACACAAAGCCATAGACTCACCCATACAAAAGCAGCACACATACCTAGGTACGCACGCGCGTGTGACTGAATTGAGAGGCACTCCCGGTCATGTGCACTCACAGAGAGCCATTCATGGCCGGAAAACAAGGACGGCAGGCTGATCAGAGCCTCGATTGTATCACAATGCAAACAAAAAAAAGCAGAGACAATAAGGATTGTTTGTGCACCATTATTGATTGTCCGTGCCTTGTGTCACTGTGCTTTCTGGTGTGTGTGTGTCCATGTGTATGTGTTCAATACTCCAGACCTCGCCTATTGCATTCTGAAATGCAGGTGGGTCCCAAGGTAAGGTTTATCTCGGGTCGGAACTGCCAATTCTAGCCTCTACTTGGTCCAGCTGGCCTTTGTAGTGCCTCAGCATTGTGACATCTGCTACCCAAGCAACCATTTTTATAACCACTTCTTCATCCTGAAGGACTGACCGGGCGAGGTCGTTACCGGCTCTAAACACGACAGGCTGCAGGCTGCTGTCACGGGGGAGTACTGGATGTAGGCATCGCATGTCTCTTATTAACAGAAGAAACAGCATTTAAATCTGTAAGTCTCAAATGAAGCACAGACATCTGTGCAAGGCGTACATCGTGATTCTGAAATGCCCAAATAATTTATGCAGCCACTCAAGACGCTATGTCTGAAAATTAAACTAGTGGAAAAAATTTAATGCTTATTCTTAGTTTTGGATGTAATTTTAGTTTAATTCAGCTTTTAATTAAGCAGATTTTCTCTTTAATATAAAGCGTAATATAAGCGTAGCTCTGTGATTATGGTAGACATATTTCATATTTCATTTGAATCACTGCTTGCTTCCGGGTGGTAATTTTCTGTTTTTCGAGGAAGCAGAGATTCCGGTTATGCTGATCATTGTTATCGTAGCCATGCTTGTGTTGTGCAGTGGGTTGTCTTTGTGTCAGTTCATAGACTCTGCCAGTTGATTGATGTTCTGTCCGATTGTGTCTCAGTGGACACAGGTGCAGCATAAAAAAAGTCTAGTATGTTCCCACTTTGAGACTTATCCCACAGAAGACAAAAATGTGAAGCTTTGCTGTTTGCCGTAGCCTAGCCACACCGTGTCTGTTCCACAGTCGCCAAATACAGGCCCAAAATGGAACAGTAAATTCTAATATCTTTTAGCTGCTTCTTATTTTTCCATTAGTGATTCAAACTAATTTTATTATTTAACTGTAATTTCCCCATTTACCTTTCTGAAAGAGGTTCCTATATATCTTTTTAAATGTTAATTACAGTCTGCACATAATAAAGATTTCATTATTCCTCTTTTTGAGTGATGGAGTCCATGAGAAAGTAATTAGCTGGGATAACGAGAGTCTGTCTGAATCCATCATGCCAACTGCACTAACCTTTTCTTTTTTTTCCCGTCCTTGGCTGAAATGCCGTTTGTGACTTGGCTCTAGTCTGCCTCTGATTTTCTGACTGCTCCCTTGTTTATCTAGTCCAGGCGTCCTAAAACTTGATTCCTAGCAGCGTTCGTGTGCACGTGTGTTTGCTCCAACCTCCTCCTACGTAATTACCTCCATATTTCATTTATATTTTTTTTTCTTCAATTAATGGTGAAATATTTTTGCAGTTTTCATGCCACATGGTTCAGAAAAGCGCTATTTTAATGCCATGCTTTGAGGGGAAATCTTTGATATAAATAGCTTCTAATTACTACAGGGCAGTAGGTAGGTTAGAAACCAACACAAAAAGTATCTATTAAATAGTCTGCTTCAATGTGTAACTTTGTGTACTGTGTTTTATTTCCCTAAATTGGCATTTTATAGGTCCGGATGCAGAAACTCACTAATAAAATGTGCTGTCTGTCCGGTCTAGGCGAGAGCTGAAACATGATAGGCTAGAGAACTTTCCAGAAAAGCTTTTGAGAGGATTTATGTCCGGTACTGGGTAAGCTGCCGTCTCTGGTGCAGGGTCCCATGTTCCTGAGGCTGGTGCCTGGACCCAGAAGACACCGGAGTCCCATCGTTGTGCCGGAGGTGCCGTATTTTCTGCTTCCGCCCCGCAATGCCACGGTCCGCCGTGGGGATAAAGCGACCTTCTACATCAAGGTGAGGCGGAACCCAGCTGTACGACATTGTGTGTGTGACACGGTTCCATCCATCGTTCCCAATATAACTGCCCCAGACTGCAACAGTTAAGGTAACAATAATGAAAATGAATAGTGACTAGAAGCCAGAACGCTACACACAGTTTCACAGAGACACTCTCAAGCAGGAAATTCAAGAATACTAACCATAATGCTGTTTCTTTGAATCAGTTATGGAAATGGAAAAACAGCATTTGTCTTCTTTAACATACAAGCTCGACAGCTAACTGAAGTAGGTGCCGTAGCATTAGTTTGAATGCATTTTCTTCAGGGATCAGTTACAGTAGAGGCATGATATTTGCCTCAGTTCGATGATCCTAAGGTGTTGCTGTAATTCTGTAAGGGGGCTTTGAGAAGAGAGTGTGCAGGGAAAGATGAAGATGCATTGTCTTTTTGGGGCTGATTGTGATGTAAGAATGCTTTCATGTTACGGAAGCTTCCTGGCATCAGCTTCAGTGGGCTCCTCTATCTTAGGCTCTTTTCCAGTCACGTACAGTATTAAGGCATCCCACAATGCCGTTCTCATTTTCCATTGCTGGAGGAGGGCTGGTTTTGGGTGGCCTGTGAGAATGGGGAATCGGCTCGTCCGCACGGTCAAGGCTGATTCGCCCCGGACGACGTCCCAGTCACCCCGACCGCAGGGATTAGGCTCACGGATGAGTCGGGGGCCCCGAGTCTGGCCCCGAGGAGGTCGGTGGCGGCCGATCGTCCCAGGGACGCAGATGTGTTAGTGCTGCCTGCTTCTCGTTAAGTGCATGACGCAGGGAGGGAAAACCGCTGCGATGCAGACGGCTTAACGCGCAATGGAGGAGCAGCCAATTTAAAACGAGGACCTCATTATACAAATGGAGAAGCAGCCCGGCAGATCAGCCCCGCTCTAAACCAGATGTTTGGCTCATGAGCTTTTTTCCTGAGGTGAAACTCTATGGAGTCAGGGCTACATTTTCTGGAAGAAAAAAAAAGCAGAACAAATGTAATTCTATTTCCAGGTGAGTGCTGCTCCAGTTTGTACTGAAAGAGGTTATTTTAAGATTTACAGCTTTAGGCCTTTTGATTTGCTTCCTTTAGAACTTGTGCAACATAGTAGTATCCACTAGGGGGCACATGTGTGTCACTTCCTGTTCAGCTGCAGGGTCTCCAAAGTTCCTTAACCACTAGGCATCCCCTGTGACTGTATTTTAGGGCAAAATATGCAACTTAACTCTCAGCTCGATTACTGCATGAGTAAACAAGAAAGATAAGGTTAGTGTTTTTGCCCTTATAAAGTATGAGCCTAATTAAACTGTTGCCAATGATTCCTCATCACTACAGCTGGTGTCATTGTATTCTGAACTATGAGATCTACGCTCTTGTGGTTGTTTGCTTGATTTTTTTTCCAAAGAAAACCATTGCAGATACGGTTATGAAGCTAATTTGTAGGGGGTCTAATAGTGAATTTCGATTGGCCAGTAACACTGAAATCTGAACAGTCATGACTGCTGGCTGACTTAGTGGAGGTCATGTTTTGAACTGGTGTTTATTCTAACTCTCTCCTAACCCTAATTTATCCAAATTCTTCTCCGAGCTGAATTACCCATTATCAATTTTTCAGTGCTAATGGACACATGCTACCAGCCAACCAGCCAGATGAGTTAACTATGCTAATGGCTAAGCACTTCGTTGCCGGGATACAGGTGCAGGGCAACCCGGAACCTTCCGTGAGGTTCTTCCATGATGGGGCGCCGGTGGACTCTGAGGCCCCCCCTTTCAGCCTCTGCCGCCTCGGGTGGGGCGTCCATGTGTTCAACGTCGCCGATGCCAGCCTGGCTGTGGCTGGCCGCTATACATGCGAGGTTGCCAACTCCGCCGGCGTGGCCAAGATCAGCTTCCGGCTGGAGCTGAAGGGTGAGACAGGAACCTGCTCTTCCTGTGCTTTAAGGTGGATCATTAAGCCTTAACGATGGACAATAACGATGAGGCAAATGACCATTATGATCACTGGGGCTGGCTTATACCATACCGCTGTATTTACGTAGTTCTGGTGTCTTTCAGATCACGTGAATAAGCCTGTACAATGTTCTCTGAGGTAAGCTGGGATGCAGGGACTGAATTTACTCTGCTTGTTGTTACTTTTATTCCGTTAACATGGATACTAAAATGGCTGCGGCCAATGTAAAAAAAAAAATTAAACGGCCAAT